TAAAAAATATAGTTTAATATATTTTTTATCAACTTTATTAACAAAGATTTTAAGTTTTTTAAAAGGTTTTTAAAATAATTTAATTTTAAAATTAAGTTCGAAATTTTTATTAAAAATTCTTATAAAAATTTATATTTATATATTAATTAATAACTTTATCATTAATTAAAGTCATAAGATTTCTTAATAAATTATAAAAATTATAATAATAAAGTTTTTTAGTATTCTGCACGGATTAGATCAGATCAGATTTGGGTAAAATCTGATTTAATCTGAATCCAAAAATTCAAATCTGATTTGATCTGAATCTGATAAATCTGAAGCTGATTATATCTGAATTTGATAAATCTAAATCTGAATCTGTATCTAAATCCATATCCGTATCTGACAGATCAAAATTTTGTTTAATAAAAATTCACCTTTGTTATTCAGAACAGTATTTTAATGTTAAAAAAATAACAAATTTGTTGTTTTTTAACAAAAATTCATCTCTGACGTTCAGAACGGCATTTTAATATTAAAAAAACAATAAGTTGTTATTTTTTAACAAAAATCTGCCTTGACTTTTGAAATGGCATTTTAATGTTAAAAAAAAACAACAATTTTATTTTTTTAACAAAAATCTGCCTCTGACGTTCAAATTGGCATTTTATTATTAAAAATTAATTTTTTAATAATAAATGCTATGTCTGACTTTCCGAAAGGCATTTTAATATAAAAAATTAATAAAAATTAATTTTTATTAATAAATGCTACGTCAGACTTTCAGGGCAGTATTTTATTATTAAAATTAATTTTTTTAATAATAAATGTCGCTTCCAACTTTCAGGATAGCATTTGTTATTAAAAATTAATAAAAAATTGATTTTTTATTAATATTAATAAATGCTGTATCTGTCTTTCTAGGCAGCATTTTAATATAAATAATTAATAAAATTAATTTTTATTAATAAATGTCACATTTGACTTTTGGGCGATATTTTATTATTAAAAATTAATTTTTTTAATAATAAATATCACGTCTGATTTTCAGAACGGCATTTTGTTATTAAAAATTAATAAAAATTAATTTTTTTTATTAATAAATGCTGCGTCTAACTTTTAGGATAACATTTTAATATAAAAATTAATAAAAATTAATTTTTTTATTAATAAATGCTACATCTGACTTTTGGGATAAAATTTTATTATTAAACATTAATTTTTTTAATAATAAATGTCATGCCTAACTTTTGGGATGTTATTTTGTTATTAAAAATTAATAAAAAATTATTGTTTTATTAATAAATACCGCCTCTGACTTTCAGGATAGTATTTAATATTAAAAATTATTAAAAATAAATTTTTAATAATAAATGCTGTGTCTGACTTTTGGGATAACATTATAATATAAAAAATTAATAAAAATTAATTTTTTTATTAATAAATGTCACAACCGATTTTTTAGGCGGCATTTTATTATTAAACATTAATTTTTTTAATAATAAATGCTGCCTCTGACTTTCAGAATTGCATTTTGTTATTAAAAATTAATAAAAAATTAATTTTTTATTAATAAATGCCACGTCTAACTTTCAGGATGATATTTTAATATAAAAAATTAATAAAAATTAAATTTTTTATTAATAAATATTGCATCTGACTTTCAGGCGGTATTTTAATATAAAAAATTAATAATAATGATGCATCTAACTTTTGGGATGGCATTTTAATATAAAAAATTATTAAAAATGAATTTTTTTAATAATAAATGTCGTGTCTGACTTTTGGGGTAGCATTTTATTATTAAACATTAATTTTTTAATAATAAATGTCACCTCTGACTTTTGAGACGGCATTTTGTTATTAAAAATTAATAAAAATCAATTTTTTATTAATAAATGCTGTGTCTGACTTATTGGTAGTATTTTATTATTAAAAATTAAATTTTTTAATAATAAATGTTACGTTTAACTTTGGGGTATCATTTTATTATTAAAAATTAAATTTTTTTAATAATAAATGTCACGTCTGACTTTAGGGTGACATTTTTTATTTCAAATCCAACAAATTAGATCTGAATCCAAATCTGAATCCAACAGATTGAATCTGAATTTAAATCAAAATCCGTTAGATTGAATCAAATCCAAATCCAAATCTGATTCAGATCTGACGGATTGAACTAAATTAAAATCCAGATCTGAATTGGATTTTTTGCGGAATACTAGTTTTTTTTTATAAATAATTTTATAATATTCTATTATGATTAATATAGTTAAAACTAAATTCTAAAAAGTTTATCATAAATTAATCATTAAATTTTTTTAATATAATTTTTTTTAAAAAATTACAAATTTTTTCTTTTAAGTAACATTAAATTTATTATTATATAATTAAAAGATAAAACTTATTAATCTATATTATATATTTATAAAATTAATTTAAAAAAAAATATTAATGATAAATCAGAAGATTTATAGTAGTAAATAAGCAGGCAAATTTGCCTGTAAATCCTATAATCTAAAGGATAAAAGATCTTTTCTTTTAAAAGATATACAATTTTAATAATTATCACATTATTAAAAATATTTTTATATATTTGTAACAGTAATCATGTGTTTATATTTATTAGAAAGCTCTCAATTACTCTCAATTAAATGATTCTAATGGTAATATTTCCATTGAATATTATTAATTGAAAAATTGATAATTTATATTAAATTAATTTTTTATTTAATAAAATATTAAATAAAACTAAATATATTTCAATATAAAAAAGCATTTAAAGATAATAAAGAACTTATTTATAGGCAAAAATAAGATTATATGAAACATTTGCAATAAAAAAAAATAAACTGTTAAAAATAAATAAAAATGATATGCAAAAGTAAAATTGATTTTTCTAGCAGTATATATAATATACCCTTTCTATTGAAAAAGTAATTTATTAAATAATTTATAAGATGAATAAATTAACTATATTAGATAAAAGTATTTAATTCAATTATATTTGTTAACTTACCAGCATATAAAATTTATCTTGTTGTTAATCAGACTTAAACTATATTATTAAAAGGAATTGGAAATATCGTATAAGGAATTGAGAAATAAAATTGTGATTTTTCGTGAACACGAGAATTATGTGAAAAAATCTTAATATGAAAACATATAAATGCGCGTCAAAAATTTAATTACTAATATAATACGTACTCGATATCCCTATTTTTTATTTGTGGAATGATTGATATAAGAATCATCACCTAATTCAATAATATTAAAAAATTTTTTTTTTGAAAGTTAAAAACTTTACAAAGGAATTCATATAATATTTATTATAACTATAATTATTTTTCAGGAAAGAAGTGTATAGTCAACATAAACTATTTCTGATTGTTGAGCTTGAATATTTTGAATATTTGATCATCATTAAAAAAAGAGAAAATATAAAATCACTATTTACTTACTCGAAATTTTTTTAGAATAATTTCTTGTATAGTTAGCAAAAAATGCAAACTTTAAAATTCATTATAAAATGAATTAATTAAACAGCAAGTCTTTACCACTCTTTCGACCATGCTAAAATGACAGAGAATATTTTAATTAAAAAAAACATCAAATTGATTATTAAGAAAAAAAATCATCATTAATGTGAACATATCAGAAGCAAAAGATGACTTCAGTGTTAATTTTCTCAGAGAGATTCCCAGCTTGCTATTAACATCATATTGTTTAAACGATTATATGAAAAGTGAATTGAATCATATCTAACCTCTAAAAAGCGTCATCAATTTCTTATCTCTACAAAACATTATAAAACATTAAAAAATTTCTTTTCAACTAAACGGAGAGTCTGAATTCATGTTTTGTAGTGTAGTAATAGTTAAAATAATTTTTCTGTTTCCTCGAAATTTTTTTTTTTTTTTTATTATAATCAATCAAATCAGGATATCAATCTATGACGTAGGGCGTGATGGCGTGATATGTAACAATTTATCATAAAATCACAATTTAAATGCTTAATCAACTTAATAATTTATTTGTATTTAAAAAAAATCATATTTAAGAGTTTGAAAATAAAATAGTATTGAAATTTCAAACACTAGTATTACCTTGAGGTAATGAAAATTTCAGCTTTCGAATTGTGATATAAGAAACCTTTTCTTTTATATCACGACTTCATTTACCTTTGTAAAAAAGTTCTCTAAAATCTTCATTTGATTTCTTTGAAGTAGTCTTATCTTCCATATCAACTTCAATTTCCATTTGACTCTCTGACGATGCGTTTGTGATCTCAGCGGGATGTTCTTTGCTTGAAGAGCTACTGTTACTATCAACCCCTATTCGAGATCTTTGACCCGATTTTAATCCTGGTGCCCCGGGCCTTCTGGGTTTACCAAGTTTACTAGAAGGTGCAACCAATCTCCTTGGAACCATAGTCATACTTGTAGGTTTACCTTCTCTTTAATCCAAGGAAAAAAATTTTTTAAATCGGAAAAATTATTTGAACAATTAGGACTAGCTAACGTATATAAATACCTTCGAACGGCTAATTCAGTAAGAGTTGAAGGTAGATCATTTCTAACCGTTGCAGAAATAATTTTATTATTTAACTTATATTTATTAAAATGCAATTCTGCTTTTCCAGTATCCTAACAATTGAAAAAGAATGTTAAATCACAAGTAAATCATTTATAATTTAAGATAGAGATTTTTTTTTTAAATTGAATTACTTCAACATTTTCAAATTCGACGTGTGCAGATCCACTATTAGGCATCATAGTAATCTTACGAATTTCCTCGTCCTGATAGAAAGTAATAAATAAATGAATGTTTTGATGGATACCTTGTAAATAATACAAGATTTATTTTACCTTAAAAATTTGAGACAACATATCACGGATATCGTCTTCAGACGTGTCTTTAGGTAACTTAGTAAAAGTAACAGTTCTCGATCGTTTTTCACTAATGTTTTTATGATAGTTAATTCTCTGATAAACATTGTAAATATTAATATTTATATTTATATCGTTACCTTTCCTTAACTTCTTCTTGTTTACGTTTGACTTCCCTCTTTTTCTCACGTTCATTAGCAATATCTTCTTTTTGACCACGATTGCGATCAATTCCGCTAAGTGAAACACTTAAAACATATCCTTTAAATTCCGTGGAATTTAAAACAAGGGACGCTTCGGCATCCTCCTAAATTAAAAGTTAAAATAAGATAACGCAAAAAAAAAAATAATTAATTAATTAATCAATCATGTATAATAGATATTATTTATTACCTTATTTTTGAATTCTACAAATGCGACCCCCTTACATTTCTTATCAGGCGTCATAGGCATTCTTACATGAATTACTGGTCCATACTATTAAAAAAGTAAATAATTAAAATTTTATCAACTATTGAATTAAGATCTTTAATAAAAATATTCACAGTTTGAAACATAAGTTTTAATTCATCTGTTTCTGCATTACTAGGCAAATTTCGGACACAAACTTCAGTCTGACTATAAAATTAAAGAATATAAATAATCCATATGGTTGATTAACGTAATTGGAAGTTTACAAGATAATAAAACCAAAACAATATTACATTGGCGGTGATCGTTCTTTCTTTAATAATGGGTTCGATATCATAACACAAATTTTTTTTCCAGGTTCTAATTCGTAACCGTTCTTTTCCAGAGCAGCTTGTGCAGATTCCTACATTTATAAAAAAGAATTTATTAATGTTTATAATTATATAAAAAATATTCCAAATTAGCTTACCCTTTCTTTAAATTCTACATAACAGAACTTTGCTATCCGGTATTTAGGATTTGGTAATCGTACAGAGATTATTTCTCCATACTAAAATATACAGATAAAATTAATATATAAATAAAAGGAAATATATATAACACAACCTAATACCTTCTTAAAAAGTTCTTTTACATCTGCAGATTGTGGGATATTGGTTACATATAAAATACGTTCTGATAACTTATACACACTAATCTCTTGTTCCCCTATCTTTTTCTTATCTTTAGTTAATGCCGCAGGAACACTTTCCTATAAACAAATTATTTTAATACCTTTGTTTATATTTTTTTTTTAAGAAAAAAAATCGTTACCTTTTCATTAAATTCAACATAAGCAGTTTTATGTGTACTAGTTGTGTCTTCCAAGATACGAATACCTTTAATTCCTCCACACTATAAATTTTGATAATAAATGTGTAAACATTAGGTAGAATGGTTACTAATATCTTAATTTACACATACTTCATGAAAAAGGTTTTTTAATTCCCCTTCTTTTACATCGAGAGGTAAATTGGAAACAGCTACTGTGGCAAACTCTCGATCTCTGTTCAAATATATTAATAAATTAGCATTAAATAGTTTATATATCATTTATCAATAAAGCTTACCGTTTAGGTTTTTCAAATTGTTGAGCTAAATAGTAATGACAATATAAATAACGGTAAGAAAGGTTTATATATTTACACGACTGTCTTACACAAACCAACCTTTATTTCTTTTTGCTAATGGTAATTTCTGTTCATTCTCTTCAGATTTTCTTTTCTTTGCTTCAGAAGAATTCTGTTCGGAGGATAGATGGCTAATAGTTTGTAAAGATTCATCAATTTGCATTGCTGGAGAAATTTGGGACAATTCTTCGTTCTGAGCCTTCTGAACCTCTTTCAAAGCCTATAAATTATAAAAATTTATTCTCATATCGCAATAATGTTCTGTAAGGAGGTTAGTACTTACTTTTTCACGTCTTTGAGCAACAATCTTCATTTGATTTTTTATATAAATCATCGCAAGTTCCAAATGATCAACTGTTCCATATTGGTGCTCAAATTGTTCCCACGCATCAAATATGCGCTCAGGCCAGTCAGTATTTTGTTGTGAAGCCATTTTGTAAATCCTGCGAACATCAATAATATTCTCGGCATTCCTGAACACGTTAAGCTTATTAAAATTAAAAAAAGGAAAGTTTAAGATGAAACATAATAAAATAAAAAAAACGCACTTTTCCCAATCTGCATATCGAATCCAAAATTCAGATTCATTTCGATGATCTTTAATTAAATTCTCCCAAACCTGCCGCGCTTTAGGCAAATCTTGGATCAAAGTCTAAAATAAAGGAGAAAATTATGAACTAATTAATTTTTTTTTAATTAATATATTTTATTTACCTCTATCTCGATCAAATATTTTTCTAAACGGTAATAAGGATCGCCAGTTTGAAAAGCTACGAGCAAAGAGTTACTAGTGAAAATAAGAATTTCCATACAACAAGCCAATTAATGATAAAATCTTACTTTCTTTAACCGTTTTTATTCCTTCTTCAAGAAGATTTATAAAACTAGAAGCATTTACTTGACTTATTGACCCTTTGTAAGTTAGAATTTGTCTTCTTTCATAGTCAACGTAAGAAATGATCAGTTTTATCAAATCATCGATATTATTCTTGAGCATTCCGGTTGACAATGCTCGGTTATATACATTGACGATTTCTTCAGAACTAAAGTTTTTCTCTAAAAGCCTTATATAATGACCCCAAAGGTCTCCTGACCAAGAACAATTTCGAACGCTTCGCTCTGCTGTTTTTATAAGAACACTAAGAGAAACTTTCTTGTCTGTTAAATGTTTATCAATTAGATATAACATATAATCTTCCCAGAGAGTATGGTCTAAATAATAAATTGCAATTGCTCTCTCGTATAAAGTGCGTATTGCATTCACAATCTGTTTCTTCTGTTTTTTTTCAAATTCAATGTAATCCATGAATTTATCCAATGCGTTTCCTGATGCTTTCTTTTATATATAGAATATAGATAATTATTTTAAATTTTAATTTCGCAAAATTTTTCATTAAAAATAATCAAAAATTTTTACATACCACCGCGTTCTCGTAACGATCTCTTTGGTAATATTTGTCTTTGAATTCACTCACATATTTATTGGTCTCTATCATAACGCTCTCATAATGTAAATTATCATATTTTGTTATAAATGATGAATAATCACTAAAGGTTTTATCTATGGCTAAATAAAAAAAAATTAACAACTCAAACGTATTGGAAAAAAATAATAGATGTTATTTAAATATTTATATTTACTCGCATGTGGGATTTTTAGTCTACTTTCGTACATTTTTCTTACTCTACTCTTTTGTTCATCATCTCTAAAAGGAATAATTTTCATGAGATAAAGAAATTATGAAAATTTGCAATATATTTTAATTACCGAGGTGAGGCCTGATATCAAAATGAGAAGGTATTTATTAACATTATATTAAGCGAAATGAAACGTAAAAATGAATTAATTTACAACCTCTAGAATTTCTACTTCAAAATCTCTATAAGCGTCCCAAATTTGATGACTCTAGATGGGTAAAAAAATTTTAACAAATTAATCTAGGATAAACAATCTAATTTTTCTAATTTACCTCTGTTATATAATAGCAAATTTCTCTATTCGCCTCTTCAAATATTTTACGAATCTGATCTAAAGTTACAACAAAATCAGATTCAATTTGGTCTACTTTCATTTCATTAAGGCCGCTTTTGTATTCTTGGACTACATAACTTGTGTAATCCTTCCAAAGGTTGATCGCTTTTGAATTAGAGCGTGGAATAAGATAAATTTTCCTTATGAATTTTAAATTGAAACGATAAAAGAAAGAAATTAAAACTTAATAACTTACATAGATAATCTTCGACAGCTTTAGTATAAAGATGAATTACTCTAAGTTTTTCCTCTTTTGTAGAAGCTATACGTGATTCATCTTCTATCCATTCGCGCCACATTTCTACATATTTAACAAAATAAAGAGATTATGAGGAATCTCATAAGAATTAAAAATACACCTTTCAAATAATTTAAACGCGTAAATTTTCGAAATACCTTCTGATAAAGGAAAAATACTATGCATTAATTCTCGAGCTTCTTTTAACTCATCAAACAAAGCAGCCTGTCGAAGAGCCTGGATATACTGAACGTGAGTATCATATTGATACAAATCACTGGAAAGCTAAAAAGAATGCGAGGAAAATAAAGAATTTAAATATTAATCCCAAAAAATAAAATAAATAAAAATCCTCTAAATTAAAATTTACCTGTTCAAGCAGGTTATGAATAGTTTCAGATATGGTGTTACTACTTTCTCCTAGGTTTTCAAGTTGCAGATCAAAATCACTACCTTCACTGTCTGACGAATCTTGAACAGTATCCATTTTACACGTAAGAACCCGTTGTAAGTCTTTGAGCTCTTCTTAATATAATCACCGATTTCTGGGTGTTATAAAATTAATCACGTGATACTAACATTATTGGTATAGTGTAACAAAAATATAATCATTGACGTAACTGCCGAAAAAATCAATGCTAAATTTGAGCCTAAAAATCGTCATATAAAACTAAATTGATTTTCCCCTTTCTATTGCAAAGACCCTATCCTATATACATGTATCAGTATTAGATATTTAGCCTGGCCAAAAGAATTTTGGCATTTTGGCTGGCCAATCGCCAAAAATTTTATAATCTAATCAGAAATTTTGCCGGCCAAAAAATGGCCAAAAAAATTTTTGGCTGGCCAAATGCCAATACTGCCATATAGCGCTGATTGCGACTTTAAAGATACCTTTTTGAGAAGGTGGATTTAGTCTGATCTTTTGAGGTATTTTTTTTAAGTAGGTGATATAAGTGATGTATAATAAAGATAATGCTAAGTATAATCATAACAATCATGGATAAAGATGGTTCCCATAATTATTTTTAAAATTTTTAACTAGTTGCAACTATTTATGAATTTTATATTAAAATAAATTTACAAGGAGTTGCAACTTACCGAGTTGCAAACTTCTTAATTATGGTGCCCATCTTTAATCATGGATAACAATGTATTATAAGATTTATAGTGCATTAAACCTACTAAAAATACAATAATATATAAATATATAAATTTTAATGAGGTCTAATTTATATAATTTTTACTTTTTATATTTGAATACATTATATTATATTCTTAATAATATCTTAGCTAAACTTGTCCAAAACTTTTTATAAAAAATTAAACTAATATTATGTAATATTTGCATTCATTATAAGAAGGAATAGTATTAATACATTTAACCTCTTAAATAGTTTATTATTTAAGAGAGAGTAAAATGTTATTTGTAAATCATATGATTAAATTGTTACATTGTTAATTTAAATATATAATCTGAAATTAGTTAAAAAATAATCATTCATAAAAATATTACTAAAACAGATATATAAAAAACCAGTATAGCATAATTCTTCTGATTAGTATAATACGATTTTATTAGATCATTAAAAATGGTTTGTATTATTAGTATGAAAATTATATTATAAATTAGTATTATATTAATAAGTATTATATATAGAACTTTTATTATAGAACTAGTATAATAAAAAATTTTTTATAATATTAATTATATAGGAGACGATCAGTAGAAAAGGTGAAAATTTAAATTTTGGTCAAAATTTATATTATTAGACCACTTAACTAATCTCAATTATGTGTATAAATTTGGCTTAATAATAAAATTAACAAAAATTTTGGATTTTTCCCTTTTCTACTGACTGTCTTCCATATATCACATAACTTTATATTGATCATTTACTATAACATTTATAAGTAAAGCTTTATTATTAATTTTTATAATTATTTTTATACAAATATCAAAAAACAATTAGTTAAAAATAATTTTATTTAATTTTAAATTTTATTTATGAAGTAATATTATTATCTTACGATACTAACGACTGAAAATTAGTATTGACGTAAGATTAACAAAGAATTTAGCTTTAAGACTTTATAATACGATTTATAGATAGCTTCTAAAGGTTTACAATCCAAGAGTATTTTTAGAGACAAATGTGATTATAGATAAACAATAGAGTTTTATTAAATAGAATAATTATTACAAGTGTATTTGTTAGCATACAAATGTGTTTAATATTTATCTTGTTAGTGATAGTACAGTCAGAGATATTACCAAAAATGGATGATGCTGATCATTCCTTTTATGGTATAGAAATGCCAATCAGAAGATTCTAGACATTTCTAGAATTCATTTTATAATATAAATATGTTTTATATTGAACTTTAAACAAACTTCATATTGGAATATAAGTTTTATTAGTATAAAGAAAAAACTTTATTGTATTTATAAAAAATTATTATAAAAGGCAGTAAAAAGAGAAAAAAATTTATTCATATATTATATGATTTCAATACATTTATTTACTTTAAAATCATATATATATGTATATATGCAATCGATGTATGCAAAATGCTTAAATAATTGAATTAACTCAATTCTTTCACATTTTGAATTATCAGAACAATCATTATCATCATGTTCATTACTAAATTAAATAAAGAACTTACTTCTTCTAAGATAATTAATAGTTCATCACACTTTTTAGACTTTATTTTAAGATACTTTTTTCAGATACTTTCACTTATTTGTTCAAGAAAAGCTTCAATCTTGGAAATGATTTCTGCTTTAGTCATATTTACTTCAGCTTTTTGCATGATTTCTTTTTATTTGATAATTAGAATTGGCCTAAAAAAAGAATCTGAACTATTGTTATAAAAAACTTTAATAATATATGTTTTTTGAGCTTGTTTTACTAAACTAGTAAAAATTATCAACTGTTCACCTAATTTATATTCCTTTCATAAGCTTTTGCAAATAGTTCTCGATTCTACAAAGCTAATAAAATTATCTTTTCTTGGACAAATTCTAAATCTTTGACATTCTATAATTGGTTCTGATCGGATTCTTGAACTGCTTATTTAAAGATCATTATATCCAATTGACTTAAAAAAATTATTCTGCAACTAAATGTTTAATTATATATTACTTTACAGAAACCCTTAAAATTCTAACGATATCGATTCGATATCACAATAATATCGTAACGATATCGAATCGATATCGTTACGATATCTATGTCGATTCGATATCATAACGATATCACATCG